GTTTTGACCTGATTACAATGTAACGCTGGAGACCTCGTCCAACGTGACGGTAGCGGTACTTTGAAGTTCTGGTTTGTTTTGAACTTCGCGCAAAGCTACACGAGGGCTATCTACGCTAGCCGTCCCTAATTTAGCAGTGTAAGACTAGAGGGAAGGCAGCTAGTCATCACCACCCACCGCCAACTCTTGGACTATTTTACCAACGAATAGTGGAATTGACCGTCACATTATAATGCCCCCACGGCTGAAAAGGCGAGCATACTTTGTGTGACGGGGATTTGAACCCGCGACCCTCAGATTGCGAGTTGAGCACCCTAACCATCTGGCCATGCTGAAGTTCTGGTGAAACAAAGGTTATGTCTATCTTGGTAAGTACTTCTGAGTATTTGGACAAAGAACTAGCAGTATTTCTGTATTGTATGTTTTGTGTTTTGATTATCTTTGAAAGAAATATGGTAAACAAAGTGGCTTTCGATAAAGTTCGTATTTAATTTTCTTGGAATTGTTGTGCTTGAAAATGTTTAAGCTTCACTCGAACGTAGTTTCCTAGACCAATATGTAAGGATTAAATCTTCTTCCTTTCATTTTTTTTTCAGTTATTTTTCATGCCTTGGAAACACTTCAAAATTGAAAAACTACATTTTCTGCTGTTTACTCGGTGTCCTCAAAGAGGAACCCATTTCTATCATTCGTTTTTTCTTCCCTCTTGTTTTCTTTGTTTGTTTCTAGGCATTTCGAAGCTCGATGTAATCAGGCAAGATTTCTAGCTTGCGTATATACAAGACAAACGGTGGGGCTCTCATCCCTCACTCTTCCTTTGACATGTAAGACTCCACTCTCTTTTCTTGTCCAACTACCTCTTCTCCATATTGGACGACTAGAGATGAATTTGACTAGAAGGACTATTCTTCATTCTCTCAAAGCTTGTCACGCTGTAGAAACGTGTTCAAACATTAGCTGGCTGAACAAGCACCTCATCAGGAGATATTGTAACAGGACCTCAGTTGGCTGTCCTCAAAATTTCTTTTGTTTACACTATTTTGGGCTATAAAAACACCGAGAACTGTACTAAAGGAAACATCTGTAGTCTTCTATAGAATATGCCGTACTTAAGTATTTTTGTGTATATATTTACACATATTTATATAGAAGAAAAAAAACTGTCACCAGTTTAATGAAATGTTTTATTTTCTGCTTATTTCCTCCGTCTATATGTTATTGAGAGAGATATAAAGACAAACAAATTTATACTGATAACATTTACAACTAAAATTGTTAATGTATTTCGCTCTTTTTTTGGCGCCCTCTAGTGGCTCAGCGGTAAGTTCATGAACTTTTGACACTTAAAATCGGATTTCGATACAGTGGTGGGCACAGCATAATTAGCCCATTGTGAGCTTAATAAAAAATAACCGATTGTTGTGGTTTACTTTTTATTATTAAGAATCCTTAATTCGTGAATTAAGTGTTATCGTGTTTGAAACATTATGAACATTATAAGGTATTATGGATAACCTGGAAACGAGACTACTGTGTATAGGTATATATATATAAATATATATGTATATATATAAGTGTTATTCTTTACTGGACTCATGGAAGATTTGTGTTTCTAATTTTCACATTTCTGTTCCTTTTATCGGTTTTTGTACATTTCCAAATTTCGCAGTCTAGTTTGTTTCACGCATCTGTGATGTAATATGTTAAAGTCTCAAGAAAAACAGTATTATTATTACAGGGGCTTACTCATAACGAATACCTGTAGCATGTGGAGCGTATAACATTTCAGTTGATTACCCTAAAAAGGGTTGTTAATTCATATATGTGCCAGTAATTAATTATTTTGCTTCTGCATCTGTTAAAATACATCGAAGTTATAGAAACTGGATATGTAAGTATATATATATATATCTTCTGTTTGTGTATGTAGGGCTCATAACGTTAGCATTTGGAGTTCAATCCCCACGGAAGGCACAACGCAGTTTGTCTATTCAGTAGCTTTTTTCTAAAACAAATCGAG